TGAATGCTGGGATTAAAGGCATGCACCACCACTGCCCGGCTTATATTACTTTCTTTAACAATTAATTTATGTACGTATGTTTATGTGTGCACATATGTGTATTTCTGTACAGGAGTGCTCATGCTGTGGAAGATGGGTCCGCGATGTACATGTTGTCTTCTGTCACTCTTTTGTATTTTGAGACAAGATCTTTTACTCACCCTGGAGCTTACCAATTTGACAACACTAGCTGGTCAGCAAGCTCCAGCGGCCATCTTCTGTCTGTTCCAGCCAGCACTTGGGTTACAGGCCTCCCTCCCAGCTTTTTAAAGTGTGCATGGCAGGGATCCAAACTCAGTTCCTCATGCTTGCATTGCAGGCACTGAACCCAGTGAGCCCTCTCCCTAGCCTTCTCCCTAGCCCTTCGTCATTTGGGGTGACTATCCTTAAGTTTTATCTACCCTAATATCTTTTTCACTGTATAAGGATTTATACTTGTCAGAGTTAAAATTTATAAGGCTTTTTATTATCATATTTAGGTTCATGGTGTCATGAAAACAAGCCTAGTCTGGAGGTCACAATGAGACCTCAGTTTTCCCAAGGCCTTTATTTTGTTGTTGTTGTTGTAGTTGTTTTGACAGAATCGATGTAGACCAGGCTGACCATGCATGACTCAGGATCTCCCTGCCTCTACTGTCTCCGTGGTGGGATTATATGTCTGGCATGAGCCTAATTTGTAATGGAGACAGTACTGCTAGTATTAGACCTTTGAGGGGCTGATTTTTGCCGCTGTAATGATTAGGATAGCTTTGGTATTAGGGTAAGCTTTGGCATTCAGTGGGCAGGAAGGAACCAGAAACCTGAGACACCATGTAAGGTCTGATGCAACTATGTGTGAGTTTTTATTTTAAACATTCCTGCAGGTTTTATTTAGTGAAAATCTGTTTATACTCATTTGATTAGGATCTCAATTTTTTAAAATATTTAAACACAAAGGGATTCTTAAACATGATTTTAATAACACTGAATTTTCTGAGAATGCAACTACTGAGCAAACTGAGGACAACCTGTTCCTTGTTTTGTTAAGGGCTTTACAAGAGTTGTTTGCTTCTTAGGAAATCTTATTCTCAATGGCCTGCTTTGATTGTCCCATGTAACTCATTTGTCTTACTCTGCAATTTTAGCTATCGTGTATATTCATGGCACTTTGATATACAAGTGAAAGTGTTTATTTCCTTAATAATGCAAACACTAGATGATTATACTTGAGCACTTACATATTAAAATTGAGATGGTGATTACTTTCCATTTCTTCTTATGTGATATTAGGCGTTATATCCATTTTTCATTGTTTTGCAATGAAGTCTCACCATGCTTCCTTCCCAAGTTCATGATCTTCAGGCTTCCTGCTGCAGCCTTAATGGCACCTGGGAAGCACAGGTGCATGCCATTGCACCTTATGTTAATCTTTAAAAATTGAGGATGGGAGGCTGGAGAGATGAAGGCTCAGCAGCTAAGAGCATATACTGCTCTTGTAGAGGATCCAAGTTTGGTTTCCAACACCATGTAGCTCACAGCCACAGGTAGCTCCCACTCCAGGGGCATTCCATACCTCTGGCCTCTGCAGACACCTGTTCTCAACATGCACCTGCCCCCACACAGACATACATCATACACATAAAAATAAAACTTCAGCAAGGTGTTGCAAGCCTTTAATCCCAGCAGGAGGCAGAGGCAGGCAGGTTTAGGAATGATACAGAGCAAGTGCCAGGACAGCTAGGGGTACACAAAGAAAACCTTGTCTTGAAAAAAATAAAAAATGAACAAATAAGTAAAAGTTAAAAATAATGAAGACAGATGGATTTTCTGCTTGTATAATATTTCTGATTTATGTCCTTGGTAGGAGAAACATGTACTAAACTGTATTTTTATAGTCATAGTGCAGTCTAGGTTACCTTTTGAAAAAGGAATAAGAGATTCTCCTGCGTTAATAAGAGCCTGTCCATTTTCCTCCTTCCCTTTCCTTCCCTCTCATTTCTTTTTCCTACTTGTTTACTATATTAACAAAAATATGGCATGTATATAGAAGTAATAAAGCATAAATAAAAGTGTGTACTCTCTATGAACCTGTCTGTTGCCCAGCTTAAACAACAGTGCTAGTGAATTTGGTATATTTTTTCTGATTTCCACTCAACCACTAGAGGTGAAGGTATTCAGAATTGTATTTTGGTTTTTGTTCATCAACTCCTTTTTCCTTCAGAAAATTTATTTAATTTTGTAGTTTTAAAAAAAGAGTCATGTTTATGTGTGTATGTGCATCTGTGCGTTTAAGTGCAGGTGACTGTGGATTCCAGAAGAGGCTGCCAGATACCTTGGAGACTTAGTTATAAATGGCTGTGTGTCCTGAGATGTTGGTGTTGGGAACTGGACTTGAGCCCTCTGCAAGAGCACTTCATACTTGTAAACACTGAGCCATCTCTTCAGCCTCTAGTTTTGCTGTTTTTATAGTATATATACTCACATATTTTTGTTTGCTTTGCTCTAGTCAGTATTGTTTTTAAGATTCTTTTTTATTGGGCTAGAGGTATATCTCTGTCGGGAGAATGCATGCCTAGCATTCTTGAAACTCTGGGTTCAATCCCCAGTATTATATAAACTGGGTAGAGGAGCACAGACCTATAATTCCAGCACTCAAAAGGAAGAGGCAGGATGATCAGGAGTTCAAGGTCATCTTCGACTACATGGTGAATTGGAGGCTAGCCTGGTACAGGAGACCTTGTTTCAAAAAAGTTTTTTTAAGTCTATATAATATATGTAACTGTAGTTAATTTTTTCAGAAAGATGCATTGTCTAGCCACTTCAGTTTATTCTGCTAAAAGTGGAATTTTAAAAATATTTGGTTGTTATTACATACTTTTCTTATGTCTCAGGGGAACATGCACACAAATTTATCTTCTGCAGTACATTTTAAACAGTATTTTTTGAGACAGGATTGTCTATATAGTACTAGGCTGCCCTCAGACTTGTGACTTTCTTTCCTTGGCTGTCTGAAATCCACTGTAGTATGTTGAATTATAAGTTGTAAATATTTTTGACTGATTTCTTTTCTCATAGAGTTATAAGAAACTGTAAATCATTATTCATTCATGCACGTAGAATGCACTGTTTTTTTTTCTATTTCTTCCTCTTCCATGACTCCTCTCATGTGACTGTCTGATTTTTAAAAAGCTGTTACAGTTGATTTTATTAGTTGAAGATAGATGTCCTGATACTCTTTGAAGAGAGAGCATTGAGTTAACATTCCTTTCCTTTGTAGGGTGTTAGAGGGCAGCACCCCTCTAACACCAGAGAGGGCATGCCAGAGTAGGCTGGAGCATTGCTCCCGTGCCTCTAACTCACTGTGTAGTCAAGGTTACCTTGAATTTCTGATTCTCCAGTCCTTACCTTTGCTTTTTCTCTTTCTTTTGTTTTTGTTTTTCTGAGACTCACATTTTCTCTGTGCAGCTTGGCTGTCCTGGAACTCACAGAGATCTACCTGCCCCTACCCCCAGAGTGCTGGGATTAAAGGTCTGTGCTACCACGCCCCTACTCCTCGCTTAAACACCAGGTGTGTATGTGATGCTGGGGCTTGAACCCAGGGCTACCTGCATGCTAGGTAAGCACTCATCCCTGCCTCTGGTGCCCAGTTTTTTTAAATATAAAACTTTTCATACTTTGCTTTTTATCGATAGCTAAGTATTAGGGCTCTTATTTCCTCATTCTAGGTTAATTTTAGGTATGTAGGATGTGGTGGATGGGAAATATTTGTTCTAATTTTTTTATTTGTCTCAAAGGCTCAAAGTGGGTATTTTGATTGGTAATTTTGTGGTACCAGTTGCTTTGTCCTTTTCTAGTATCTAAATAAAATACTCGTTTATGTACACTTTTTGTGTTCCTGCTCTCTCCTTTCTCCCTCCCTCCACTTTGACAGGTGGTGGTCAAGCACTCTGACGTCATCTGTCTCCTGTTAATACTTTTTCTTTCCTTTCCTTTTGTGGATGTGCTTAGGATCTGAATTCAGATCTCATGCAGACACTTGACTGACTGACTGGACCATTTTCCAGACCCTCTACAGAATTTGACTGGTTCTGTTTTCATTTTGAAAATAAATGAAGTTTCTGGAGTTAGGACATTTATAATTTATTTTTTAGTAAAAGAAAATTGTGAGGTTTATGCAATCTTAGCTAAAGGTCTTTTTTATATGTATATGTGTGTTTATGGGTGTACATGTAGGTACGTGCAGATGCATGTGGCCGGCAGAGGTTGATTCTAGGTGTCGTTCCACCTTATTTCTTTAATTTTTTTTGTTTTGTTTTTTGAGACAGGGTTTCTCTGTGTAGCCCTGTCTGTCCTGGACTCATTTTGTTGAGTCCAGGCTGGCCTCGAACTCATAGAGATCCGCCTGCCTCTGCCTCCCAGAGTGCTGGGATTACAGACGCTCATCAGCATGCTGGGCTTTTCCACCTTCATTTTTGAGACAGGGTCTCTCACTGAATCTCAGTACCTACCTACTACAGAGTTATTCTAATTTAAATCATGGACTGAGGTCACTCTTCTCTCTGCTATTTCTAGAATGGACCTACCAAGAGTTTAAGCAGTCTTGGTGTCCGCTTAACTTTTAGAGAGTTAAAAGACTCTTTGTTGTTTTTTGAGGTAAGGTCTCACTGTAGTTTAGACTGGCTGTGTGACCCATGTAGGCTTTAGACTGTTGGTCCTACTGGCTCAGCTCTGTGAGTACTAGGATTAAAGGTGTGTGCCAGCACACCTAGGTCTTGGAGGGAGTGTAAAAAATTTTACAGTGGAGCTTTTAATACATGGGAGATTTTGGCAAGCCAAATCTTCGAGCCAATAGTCTCTAATTAGTTGTGTCCTAAGAATCCATATTGCCAGTATCTTCCAGTTAATTTCTGCTACTATGATAAAAATCGCCTGACTCCCCCCAAAATAAACAAACAAACAATATCATAAAGGATTTGTTTTAGCCCACAGCTCCAGGTTACAGCCTATCATAGCAGGAAAGCCGAAGCTACAGAAATTTGAAACAGCTGGTCAAATCCACCATCAAGCATGGAACGAAATAAATGCACGCATGCTTGACAGGGTTCAGCTCGCTCTCCCCTTCTCATTCAGACCATGAAATGTGCCATCCAGCTTCAAGGTGGGTTTTCCCACATCTATTAACTTAATTATGAAAATCTCTCATAGGTATGAGCTCAGGCCAGTTTAATCTAAACTGTTTCTTGTTGAGGCCAGGTGCTTTTAGATTGTGTTAAGTTGATTAAAACTAACCACACAGTGTTTCTGATTGTGATTTTAGAAATTTAGACTTTTTCCTTTTTAATACTATTTTTAGGAGTAATCCATTTTTGTATTTTCTTTTAAATATAACATCAAACCTATTCTAATCCTAAAATGCCAAATATTTCGTGTGTGTGTGCATGTGTGCGCGTGTTGTGTGTTATTGCATGTGTATACATGTGCATGCATGTGTGTCTTTTGAGACAGGGCCTCCAGCGTTTGGTCCTCCTTGAATTGTCTGAGCTCTGGGATTTCAGGCCTGTTTCACTCTGCCTGGCTTTCACTCTCCTTGATTAGTGTTGGGATAGTAACTTTTTTTGAAAATAGCTACAAAAGAGCAGAGAGGCTTTATTTATTTTGCTGTTACAGGAGCAGAGAAATGGAAAATGTTGTCCAGAAGAATGTGAGATTTATCCTAGAACTCTAAATGTCTACTTTTGGTATTAAGTTTGGTCAAATACATGCCAGGTATTTTCACTTGTAATGTGTTTTCTTATATGTCTGAAAAGCAATTGTCAACCTATTGCCATTTCTCTGTGTTTTGCTACTATTTGGTGTCTTTTATAATGCATCCATTAAAATTAAAAGTAAAATATCAAAAACATTACAGTCTGTTCAAGAATTAGGTCAATGAAAAAATGAACTGAAACACATTGTTGGCTAAAACTGATTTACAAATTACATCTGAAGTTGTTTTGGTAGTGCATCTATTGGAATGAAATTCAGCTGTTGTTTTTCTGTTTGTTTGTTTGTTTGTTTGTTTTTAATAAAATCTACTCTCATTATCTGAGAGTAGATTGATGTGCTAAACAAGTTAATGCTGTTTGTTCAACTTTTAACTCTTTCCCCATTTCTTCTGTAAGGCCATAAAAGCCCTTCCCATTTACCTCCCCAAACACAAGGTAATAAAAAAGAGCTGGGACACAGTGCAGTGGTAGGCCCTAGATTCAGTTCTCAGTACCCAAAAGGGGTGTGGAGTGGAGAAAATTACAGATGAACCCATCATCATCATCATTAGTATTTTGCAGAACTGGGGATCAAATCCAGGGTTTTGTAGATGCTAGACAAATACTCCACCGCTGAATTAGTGTGTCAGTTTAGTGCTGCAGTGCCACCTTACAGGGTCTTTGAAGGGCAAGGGCTGCACTGTGTATTTATGTTTACCCTGGGTTAAAAAAGAAAACCTTTTTGTTCTGTTAGCAAAATTATTTGTAACAAATGTTTCAATTTTCGATAAAATCTGAATTTTATAAACAAAATCAGTTTTTTCAAAAAAAGGACTTAGAGTCAGGTATCCTGATTTGTTTTATTTATTTTCTTAAGATCAAACAACTGATTTTTTAAAATTGAAAATAGGTTTTTTTTCATACAATATATTGATTAGTTTCCCCTCCCCCAAACCTTCCTAGATCCTTTCCACCTACCCAAATCCATACCCTTTCTTGTTCTCTGTCATTAGGAAAAAAATAGATATCTAGAAAATAAATAAATAAAAACAACCTTAGCCCCATAGTTTAGTAATTTTGTGACCTTGAAACTTTCACTGTACCTCAGTTTTTTCAGTTGCAAAATAACAATATTAATAACTCATTTTATGAGCCATTAGGATTAAATGACAACAAACAAACATTGCCTAGGAGAAACTGGCAACTAGTACTCAATAAACTTTAGCTGCTGCCAACCTTTTTATTCAGAAATAGCACCCTTTTATCATTTATTGTGAATTTGTATTGTTTTTGTTTGTTTGTTTGGTTTTTTTTGAGACAGTTTTTGTTTTGTTTTGTGTATGTGTGTAGCATTGGCTGTACTAGAACTAGCTCTGTAGACCAGGCTGGCCTGGAACTCAGAGCTTCTCCTGCCTCTGCCTCCAGAGCACTGGGATTAAAGGTGTGTGCCACCACTGCCAAGCTTGTATTGCTTCTTAAGACAGGCATATTTTTATTCCAATATGTGGCTAATTAGACTATACACTAGAATTTACTGTTAAGTAAAAAAAGCCCTAAGAATGTTTTACTTTCAGATTCTTTACTGGCTAGTGTTTTGTCAACTTGAAACAAGCCGTTTGAGAAGTGGGAACCTCAGTAGAGAAAATCTTTCCACCAGATTGCCCAGTGAGCAAGCCTGTGCACAGCGCATTTTCTTGATTAATGACTGATGTGGGAGCGTCCAGCCTAATACAGGTGGTGCCACCCTGGGTCAGTGTTCCTGTATGGTATAAGACATGGTATTGAACAAGCCATGGGAAGCAAGCCTCGTGTTCCTTCATAAACTCTGCTTCAATTTCTGTCTCCCCGTTCCTGCCTTGAGTTCTTGTCCTCATGTTCTCAGATGGTTGACTACAGGCTGAAGTTGGTTTTTGGTCATGGTGTCTTATCACAGCAATAGAAACTCTAAGATAGAAATCATAACTTCTGTTGTTTTGTTTTGAGACAAGGTCTCCTGTAGCCTAGTCTGGCTTTGAATTACTGTGGAGTTGAGGATGACTCTGAACTTGTGAATCTCCTGCCTCCATCTCCATTGTGCTGGGATTATAGGCATACAGCACTTTGGTTTTCTTTTTGTTGTTATTTTAAAACAGGTTCTCACTCTGTAGCTCAGGCTGGCTTATAACATGCTATGACGTGCAGACTGGGTGTCCCCCAGTGCCTGGGTATGGTATCTCACGCCTATAATCACAGCAATGGAGACTGTTTGACTCTGTCACACATTTAGAAAAAGCAAATACTATGTTGTCTGTCATACTGTAATAAAAAAAAAAATTAACCTCAAAAAAACAGGAAAGGCAATCTCATATTAAGCACAGTTATACATATTGTCTTGTCATGCCTGGCACCTGTTTAAGACTGGATTTCAGGAATTGCTAATTTAATCTCTTCTTTTAAAGACAGGACTTTGCCTAGGGGTCTATAGAGCTCTTACAGCAGAGTAGAATAGCAACTGAGTCTAGGCCCAGATCCCCCAAGTTGTGATCACATCCCCTCAGTCTATCACATGAGAATTTGTGTTATAAAGAATCAGGCACAGGGAATCCATGACTTAATTAGGATCAGTAGTAGCTCTTGAGATAGAGGTGGGGGCTGGAGAGATGGCTCAGTGTTTTAAGAGCACTGCCTGCTCTTCCAGAGGGCCCAGGTTCAATTCCCAGCACCCACATGGCATACAATTGTCTGTAACTCCAGTTGCAGGGATCTGACACCCTCACACAGACACATGCAGGCAAAACACCAGTGCAAATAAAATAAGTTAATAAATTATAAAAAAAAAATTAAAAAAAAAAAAGACAATAGAGGTGTAGCCGGGAGGACAAGCACACCTTTAATCCTAGTACTTGAAGCACAAGTTTTATACTGGCCTAGTTCATAGGAAGACTAGCTTCAGAAAAAAAAGTAAAGCTCGAACTTGAACCTACAGCACCCACTTCTGTTTTTGCATGATCTGGCCCCATTTTTAGTGGAGCTTGTTTCTATGTACTTTAAGAGACTTGTTCGTTTTCTGTCATCCTATACAATTTTATCTGTCTATCGCATGTGTGCACATGGGTGTGCTCGCCATTGATAGGAGGTGTGCATATAGAAGACAGTGGAAAACTTTATGGAGAATTGGTTCTGATTCTACCGTGGATTCCAGGGATTAAGCTCAGTCAGCCACCAGGCTTGCACTTTTGCCACTGAGCCATCTTGCCAGCTGCCTTTTTAGTTTATGGAGGTAGATTATAACGGATTGAAATTGAAAAGAGGTATCTACATTTAGAATTTCCTTTCCTTGCAATTTTCAGATTTTGGAGCCTAAGGAACATTTTTCAGAGGAGACTGCCAGTCCAGCCATTTTGTCAACCAAGATCTTGATACATAGCCACAGACTGGAACACTGGTGGGCCACAGTCCTCAGATTCCTTCTTAAAACAGGTAGGTGAATGACAGTGGGGAATGGAAAGTGGGCTATTAATATCATTCCAGCAGTTGCTGGAAAAGTCCTTCATTCCTGGTCGTTCTAAATTTTATTTTATGTGTATGGGTGTTTTGCCTGCATGTATGTCTGTGTTCCCTGTATGTCTGTGTACCATATACATGCCTGGTGCCTGAGAAGGCCAGAAGAGTGTAATGGATCTCCTGGAACTGGAGTTACAGATTATTTTGAGCTACCATGTGGGTGCTGGGAATCATATCTGAGTTTGGAAGAGCAGCCAAGTACTCTCAGCACCTTCTTCCGCATCTCTTCAGCACCCTTCCTGCTTTCGGTTAGATTTACTAGTTACTATCATTAATTTTTTAACCCTTTTTCTAGGTAAAAATGAAACACCCCAAATCTTAGGTAGTGGGTAATACATTTTCTTTATTATAAAATATTTGTCAAGATACTAGTGGTAAAACTTAGGGTAATTTTGTTTCCTTCTTTTGCATTTCAAGTTGTGTTTATGAACTCGTGTGACAATTATTGATTTTATTACAAATTACTGTATATTTAGTAGCTCTTAAAGCATTATCTGTCTATTTTGTTTTGAGATAGGGTCTTACTCTGTAGCCCTGACTGGCCTACAACTTGCTCTGTGGTCCATTATGGCCTTGAACTCATATAGCATTTCACTCACTGCCTCTGCCTCTTGAGTGCTGGAATAATGGGTGTGTGTCACTAAGGCATGTCTGTTTTGCTTGCATATCTGCAGTTTGATTAAGATTCTTGTTGGGTTTGCTTGTCTTCATTAACGTGGTTTGAGGTGGGATAACTAGGAATGTGACTAGGAGTTAAGAACTGGAATCATCTGAATGCTTGCTCACTCCTGTGTCTGGTGGTGGATGCTGACTTGGCTGAGTCCTCAGCCTGGGCTGGTAGCCAGAACACCTACACTACACTTCTCCTTGTGACTGCTTAGCTTTCTCACAGTGTGGTTACAAGATTTAAGAAAGAACATCCCAAGAGAGGAGGGTGAAGGCACATGATTTACTTGACTTAGCTTGGAAGTCAGATAGTATTACTTCATTCTGTTTTTGAGAAATTATAAAAGTCCATGTAAGTTAGTGGCCTTAACACCCACCCCTTGAAGGCAGGAGTGTCAGCATCATATTGTAAGAGCATTTGAAAATGAGTCAGTTGCTCTAGTCACCTTTTGAGGATATGATGTCAGAGTTTATATTTAAAGGTTATATTATTTAGTGTGTGGAATGTGCAAGTGCCCCAGCACATATGCAGAAGTCAGAGAACAACTTAGAGGACTCAGTTCTCTCCTTCCACCATGGGGACCCTTTGGGTTGAGCTCACGTTGTCAGGTTTGGCAACTTGCACCTTTTCCCGCTGAGCCATCTTACGGGCGCAGATAAATGATACAGTGCACGAGGCCTTGGATTTGATTCCCAGCACTGCTTGTAGCTGTACAGATACGATGGCACACACTGTAATCTCACCACTTGGGAGGCAGAAGCATGCAGATTGCTACAAGTTTGAGGCTACTCTGTATGCATAGTGAATTCTAGATCTGCCAGGACTACGTAGCAAGACCTTGTCTCAAAAATATGTGTTTGTATGTAGGCTTGCTCCAAGTGTTGTCCGTACTTAGAATCCCAACACTTCGGAGGCTGAGAAAGGAGGATTGAGAGTTTAAGGTCAGCCTGCCTGCCTACAGAGAGTGACTCCCATCTCAAAACACCAAAGCGTTGGGACTGGAGAGATGGCCCTGTGGTTGAGAGCCTTGCAGAGGACTCAGGTTTGGTTCCCAACACCTATTTAGTGGCTTATAACCATTTGTAATTCCAGTTCCAAAGGATCTGATGCCTTCTGACCTCCTTTAGTACTGGACATACACATGGTGTAATTTATGCATGCATGTGGAGTACTTGCACACATAAAATAAAATAAATAATTCCCAAAAAAAGTGTCTAATCTCGGCATGGTGTCTCACACCTTCAATCCCAGCACTTGCTAAGCAAAGAGAGGTGGATTTCTAAGTTTGGGTACACTCTGCTCTATAGAGTGAGTTCCAGGACAGCCAGGGCTACATATAGAAATCTTGTCTCAAAAACAAACAAAGAAACCAACAAACCAAACAGGGGAAAGCTTTGGGGCCTCAAGTCTAGACAAAGAATCACAGGTAACTGGGGAATGCTGAGACTGGGAATAATAAATTGTCTTCCTGGAAGAGCCTCTCTTTGTTTATCCAGTAACCAAGGACCCTAAGATTATAGACATACAAGCAACATCATACTTACTGAGCAGGTTGTATTTAGGAATACACACACGCACACAATACATTTGAGAGAGAGAGCCAATGTGTAGCATGGAAAGAGTTGGAGGAAAGAAAGGATGAAAGGAGGAAGGAAAGGGGAGAAGTCATGTAATTATAACATCAATTTTTTTTATTTAAAAAATAAACAAAAAAGTAAAAATTTATTTTCAAAAACCAAAGGGGAAATGCATAATAAATGAACTATAACAAACAAAAAAGATGAACATTTGGTGAGAGTTTGAATTTTTGTCTAGTGGAGATTCCATTAAGGGCTGTGTTGGCATATTTTTTTTAATCTATTTTATTTGGTTCTTATACCTAGACCTTCCTTTTAATTCTTATTCTACCCAAATTCCTTTCAACTGTCAATACTGGGTAGGAGAGTAAGGATGTTAGCGGGGAAAGGGGCCATTGAGATCTTTTTAAACTACTTCCTGCTGATTAGGGGCATTGAGTTCCTTGGTGCAAGTCCGATCTTCAGCTTGTCTAGGTATCTCCAATTTCTTATTGTTTCTTTTCTCATGATCACCTGACAAACTAGCAACAGCAGGAGTAGGAACCAGCAGGAGGGCCAGCCATGCCTCCTCTCTTGAGGCTCTGGTCTTTTTATACCCTCTCTAGAGTCCCCAGAATTAACCTGTCTTCAGCTGGCAGAATCACCCCCTTGCCAGAGCCTGCATGAGACAAATACTCTGCTGCTGTGGACAGTTTGAAGCAGCCCCATAAACCCACACCTGGGATTAAAATGAAAACATGTTTACATATATAACTGGGTTTTTAAAGACACCAAAACTCTCACTACGGGACTGAGTCTTCAAAAGTCTCTGACTCTGCACTGTTCATTTGGAGCCTGTTAATTCCCATATGCTATAAGAAGAAACTCCTTAAGTGTGGGTTGAGGGAGGCACTGATCTATGGACACGGCAATATGCCATCAGTAGTCATTTTACTGCTGTGTTTCTTTAGCAGAACAATTGGGTTTTTCCCTAGGCTTGTGCTCTCTCTAGTTCTCAGGTCCTTGGCCTCTTTAGCAGTGTCAGGTGTGGGCTCCATCTCATGGAGTGTGCTTAAACCCCATTTTTAGAAAAGTGGTAGGTTACTCCATAACATTCGTGCTACTATCCTGCTGTATATCTCGGAGGCAGATCACTGTTCAGGTCACAGGGTTTGTAGCTGGGAGATACCGGTAATTCCCTTTTCCCTCTGGCAACTTGCAGAGTACTCTCCAACTCAACTGCTCTGTGTTGGATGACCTAAGTAAGTGCTGCCTTCAGCAATAGGGCCTTACTGCCAGACTGTGGCGAACAACCAAAAGCCTTGGCAATTGCCCATGATGTTTGGAGGTTTCTGTGGGGCTCCTTTGGGCAACAACTCAACAAGATAAAACCCATTCCTGGCACTGGAGGTTTTACTTCATGACATAAGGTGCCTAATTGGAGCATTGTCTCCCCTCTTACGTATGTGGTGATTCTGTTTAAATTTCTTTCATATATATGAAACCTACTACTGTAGAGACTTCATATATATATGTATATATATACATATATGTATATACATACACACATGTACACATGTATGTGTGTGTATATATACTGTAGAGGCTTCGTGTGTGTGTGTGTGTGTGTGTGTGTTATATGCGTAGGAGGCTTCTGTATAGTTTTGCAAATTTAGTGTTAGTTGTCCCTCTCTGTATTCCCTCTTTTACCCTTCTTTTTCATTCCTGTCTATTTTATTCTCCTATTCTAGTTTCCCTTTTCTCTTCATAAGTACTATATTCTGCTTCCCCTTTCTTCGGAGATTATCTCCTCGTCCCCAGGGATCTTTCTACTCCCCTCCTCCCTGAAGCACAGGCTTTCAGGCTTACACTGCTGCACTCAGTTTCAGAGTGTGAGTACTGGGGATCGAACTCCAGCCTTTATGCTTGTACAGTGAGCCCCTAGCCATCTCCCCAACCTTTATGTATTCTTTGACAATTTTATTCGTGTATAAAATGTATCTTGATCGTGTCCAATCCCAAATTCCCCTCCTACTCTGTCTGAACCTCACCAATACTCCTCCCTCCTACCTGTATATCCTCTTTTACTTTCTATAATAATTTACAGAGTCCAGGTAGTGTTTCTGAATGTGCATTTCACAAGGAAGGAATTTTTTTTTTTTTTTTGGGGGGGGGGGGTGTTAGTTTTAGTGGCAAGTTGTTTTTTTTTTTTTTTCCCCAAAACACCTAGTAGTTTTCTATCCTTTCCTTGATTTCTTAAAGTCTCAGTGATTGGAACTAGGCTGAGTACTTCCAGATTCTCAGCAAAATCTTTGTGGGTCGGTAAATACTGAGAACCTTTGAAGTCTTTAGCTTGACTACATATTTTTTATTGGAGTTCTTTATTTCTGTTTTCATCTTTCTGTCAGAATTTTCTGGAAGTACTCAGTTAAGACTAAGGGATTTTCTTTTAGAGTCCAGGCAGCCTAAAAGTGAGTTATTCAAAATCCTTTTTCCTGTGTATGTGCTTACCAGACAGAGCAGCCACTGTATTTTAGTAAGAGAACTTATTGCCAAAACATCCACTGGAGCAGACTGACCTGCTTAATGCTGATGAGTTTTTGTTGTTGCTACTGCTGCTGTTGTTTTAAACCTATGAAATTATTAGCAGCATTAGAGCATTGGATCAACCTTCTCCTTCTGTGGAGGTGGAT